CAAAAAATCACCGAACACATTACCGAACGTTCAGCTGTTGAGATTTCGGTAAAATTTTACAGATTTCTGTAAAAAAATCTAAGTGTGAAGGTGAAATACACTTAAAGTAAATGTGATTGTGCATTTAAAAAATCAAGTGTTTAAACACTTCGATCAAACATGAGGAATTTTTGAGTGTAGTTATCTTTTTCTTCAGAGATTGTTTTCATTATTTCATCAGACGAAGCACACAGCACTACACACAACAACAGATATTAGAATAACTTACACACTAAGATTATTTTACAGATTTCTGTAAAATTTTACCGAAATCTCAACAGCTGAACGTTCGGTAAACCATTTTACAGTTTTCCTGTAATTATTTACAGATATCTGTGAAAAATTCACAGATATTTGTGAAGAATTACAGGAAATCTGCGAAACTGTTTACCGAACGTTCAGCTGTTGAGATTTCGGTAAAATTTTACAGATTTCTGTAAAAAATTCTAAGTGTGTATTACATTCATTTACATATATGTTCGTTGGTTGCATGGGTTTCGAACCATGTACCTTCCGAGCACCAGCCGCTTGTCTTGTCATGTGAGCTATCCTAGAATACATCATATGGGCTTACTTGGAAAGCGGAAACGGTAACCACAACTCTACTGATTTCGTCTTGTTGTTAGACTGAACCAGTGTTGTCGAATAATGAATCTAATACTTCGTTTATAAATCATTTACAAAGCATGCAATTAAAACATGGACGCATAGTGGTATAAGAGCTTTTTTGCTGACCTTATTTACCTTTATACAACAATATTGTAAAGCAATGCAATGAAATCGAATAATGGAGCTAGAAAACATTTATAAGACGTCTAATAAAGCATTTTATTAAATCAATTGAAGACAGTCGAATTAAAGCGTCAATGTATGTGCATATTACACTTATTCAGTTTGTTATTAGATCGAATTTCTGGTTCTGAATCAGGAAGACAAACAACGTTTATAATGCTTTTAATAAGAAAATTATTCATCTCAGAGCAAACAGCGGAATAAAGGCGGATCATCGATTTCAATGAGCTTTTTTCAGCACATAATGCGACATCATGTTTTATTCAGCATTGTACACTGTTAAACAGCATTTATTCAATATATATGCTTATTTGTGACTTTGAATTGTTTGTTGAGCAGGGTGACCCAAAATTGCAATTTGTCATCAAACCCAGAGACGATGTTAAATAAGAACCGTCAAACGTGGTTCCAATCGAGCAAAGTAAATAAACACGAGCGCTTCACGAGGAAAACTGTGGGAAGTATTGAGATAGAGGCTGAAATTAAATTTTTGAGATTTATAAATTATAACTTAGTTTGCATGCACAAATTCAATGCTAATTTTTATGTGTTCCAAACATGAATTTAAGCAATGTGATAAACAAATGATATGTATGTGTCATGTGTTACCACACATACTATTAATTTGACTAATAAATTTCATGTGTACATGCATAAAAAAACACTGCTAATACCATAGAGGTAATAATGCTAATACTAACGGTGGTAGAGAACTCTATACCTCCGACCAACCATTTCGTTAATTTTCTTTAATTTTCTATACATCGATCTTCAAAGCCAGTCATAAGAAAAATCGATAGCGATCTTCACCATTTTATGAATAATTGTAAAGATGCTAAAAGTCTAATCGTGAATCGTTTATAAAGATCTTTCTCGAAATATTGCTACCAATCGTTACCAATGTTAAAAATATCGATTGTGTTGCCAGATCAAAATATCGATTTCGGTTGTAAAATCAAAATATCGATACACAACTGCTGATTTTATTTGTGATTTTTTATCTGCATAATTTCTAGTTTCGATCCCATGTCATCTGGGGTGTACTTGATTTCGTTGTTGGTTGCTAATCCTAGGGTCCACGGCTGCTGTTGATGAGCTTATTAACGACAGGTAAACACACTCTACACACTTAAAACAGATTTGCGAGGTCGGTAGAAGAAAATACTGAGCTGACACGGCAATTCATAATTTTACTGATATTTCGGCAACAAAAATATTTTTCCTGAGATTGACCAAAAACATTTCCGAAATTCGCAAAGTAATTCGCTGAGCACATCAGTAAATAGAAATAATACCGAAATCAGCAATCGCGTTTACTGAGATTTCAGTATTGGCCTCATCCATTGCCGAATTTCGGTAATACAGCTGTCACTTTTTTCCACCCGCCATTTTTCAGAAGATCAGAAGTTAATTGTTGTCTGTGTCTTTTGCATCGAAAACAACTTTAAAAAACCCAAAACGTGGACTAAAACGCTCGAGGAAGCAGGATCCAAACCAACGAAAGATCAGCCCACTCCATGGTATAATCCAATGGATTAATGTAAGATCAAGATTGTTCTGTTTTGTTTGAGTGAAAATAATTCTTGTTTGGTTTTAACTTTCAGTCCGACAAGAGTATGCTGACGTCAGCAATTCCCCAAATAATAGTTGTTGAGGAGGAGTTCGAGGTAGGGGAGTGCTACGTTATTTGGGATAACGTGGCCGTCGGAACAGGACCGGATGTGCAGGCGATCGTGCTGCTCTGTAAAGCGTTTACGGTTTACAGAGTAGCATGTTTGCTGTCTGATAAGCTATTTGTTGGCTTTTTTTTATCCATACTGCTATAAAATTAACCAAATGAGCACTACCGGCAACAACTTCATCAACTTCATGTGATGCATTTTTATGGACTTTAATTGATATACACACCAAATTTTGAAATCCTGTTCCAGCAAAATGAATTGCTGAATCGCATCCAGCAAAACTAACTTACTGAAAAATCAGTAAAATGAAATATTTTGTTGAACGTTCCAGTAAACTGTATGAAACGTCAAAATCAGGCCAAAATCTATCATTCGTACCTTGACGATTTATGATTATTTTTATGTTGAAAGTGTTCGACTCACAAAATATCATGGATATTATATAAAAAGAGCATTTGTCATGAAGTAAGTATACTAAACTACCTTAGCAACCTGAATTAAGTTGAAAAACTTTCGTTTTTCTCTGAAATTTACAGTTTCTTCATTCGAAAACCTACCCAGGAGTCTCCTAAATAAAGAAACAACAACAACAATAACTCACCCAGGATGGCCCATCATAGCTTCTTCAAGACATGATTTTTTAAAGAAGTGCAGTCACATTTAATAAATTACTATATACAACTACATGAAAGTATAATAAAATATTTATTCCAATAATGCCTCTTTAAAAAAACAACAATCGAGATTTGCTGCTCTTCCAGCAAAATGATTGATGTTCCGTTTTGCTGGATAATCAGTAAAGTGCTGTCAATTTGACATTGGCCTAAATTGCTGGTCGTCCAGCAATAATATTTTGCTGGATAGATTGCTGAATTTACAGCTCGGAAAAATCCAGCAAAATATTGCTGGTTTCCAGCGATAAAAAATGAGTGTGTACAAAATGATAATCCCATTGCAGTGTTTCTTATTTGCAACTATTTGCGTCATGCCAAGCAATCAGTTGTTTTTTTACTGAGATTTTCGGCAAAAATTGACAACCGTGATTTTTATGATTACCGAGATCCTCGGTAAATTTGCTGTTTGCCGAGATGGTTACCGAGCACTCAGTGGTGCCCATCTCGGCAATTGTTTTGCCGAGATCCGGCGAAAAAAACTTAGTGTGTTGTATTGAAATTTATGTAAATCTTTTCATACATGAATTCAATATTTATTTGTCATAACCATCAACCAGTCAGCCATGTAGGTGTAATAGAGATCAAAAAGGTATCAATTTTCCTCATTGGGTTCCAAATGCTGAGAATCCCACCACGCATGCTATCACGGGTTATTAAATATATAGACGTAAACTTGAAGAACTACAATGGTAATCATTTGCTGCGTCGCGGCCATCGGTCTTCTCGTTCATTTACCGACAGATTGCTTCTTCCGATGAAATGCCGAATATGTCGATAAATAATATAAACATTGCCATCTGTCACCTGGTGTGTCTCGAACTCTCTTTAACCAGCGATGCAAATCGATAACAAGGAAATTATAAATGTGCATCGATGGCAATCTTTGTTGTTCTTTGTCAAAGTTCAAAGCTACGATGATATCAGTATTTAAATATTTATTGATGAATATTTGTAACGAATACTAAAGTCCATGTCAAGAGCCACATGTGAAAAGGGCATACAAGCTTTTTGTAAACAAATCTTTGTAGGCCCTCTTCTCGCCAACCGAGGGTCGCCCACGCAAACTAACAACATCATCGGGAAGGGGAAACCTTCCCCTATCCGGCGATGTTGATGGTTTGCGTTGGTGTCATATGGGTGGCGAGAAAAGGGCATAAGAATGTTTGTTTACAAAAGCTTGTATGCCCTTTTCACATGTTGTTCTTGATGTGACATATCGAAATTAAAAGAAATTTAGTATGGCACCTTTACAGATTACTATCATATGACCGATAAAGAAATAATCTTAAATGTAAGTATCGATCAATAAAGATTTTTAAATTTGTTCATCGAAATCATAGAAAATTTAAAGTAAAGAATTTCCGACATAAATCTTTATTTCTGTATAAAGAACTTTGAAGAAGTTTCACGAACGGTTGGTCGGGATTGACTCTGATTGTTCGGCTTCAATGTATGGTAAAATTAACTTTTAATCTCACGTTTATTGAATATATCAATAATTGCGAAATTTGTTCGATTTATTATTTCTACATAGAGCAAAATGTGGAAATTTTCTCACCGTTAGAGGCAACATTTGAAGAGGAATCGGCGATTTTTCTAAAATCTCCATTCTGCGAAACTGCACTGGCGGGGCGACATCTGTCGGATTTGACGGTACTTAAATTAACAAATATTCCATCAACCTTCCCCTCGTTTTGGCTTTGTTTTCGCTGCGCACATGAAACGTCATATTCCGCGATTTTTGTGCCCGCGGTGACGTTTTGCGTCACTCGTTTTTCGTCTTTATCACGCGAAATTTTCCAGCAGCCACAATCAGGCAGTTCCAGCCAGCTGTCAACTATACTTCTATCAATCGTTCGCCACTGGCACTCAGCGGGAGAAAGAAAAACTTCGAGGGTGAATTTATTCCATATTCAATAGTTATCGCGAGCCCGTATCATAGCCATTTATTTTGTTCACAACCAGTGTTTTTTGTTCGTGTGTGAGTATTACGCCTACTCGATTTCGACGGAGGATTCTGAATCTACGTTCTAATCAACCGCGAAGATTGTATTTCTCCTGTGCTGATTTTCGGGGCAGCTGGCTGCTATCAGATTCGGATGGTGAAACTTATAAGTGTGTCGTTCTAGCTAGAGAATCCGCTTCGCTTGTGTGGAATCACTTGTTCTGATTGGGAGGTCAAAAAAGTGTGCAACGATTACTGATAATGGTTTCCCGGAGGAGCTAGTGTTGCTACTCGTCTCCGATCGAGAGTATGTGTTCGAGCGAAAGTGTATCGAAAGTAGTGGATTAGTTTTGTTGTGTTGTACATTATTAGATGGTGTTTCCGGTGCCGAATAGCATCAACCGGAGCCAAAGAGTAAAATACTTCCGATGACCTCAGACGGACCGCTAGTCAATTTGGATTTCGAAGAAACCAACGCGAAAGCTAACTTTCCAGCTGGAGCTACCACAACAACAACGACGGTAATAGCCGCCGTTCACCACCCAGAGAGGGAAGCGACGTCAAATAGATCGTTGGCGAACGGGGGCTCTTTTGTTGGATCGAGGAGAGTGGCTGGCGGAGGTGGAGGAGGAGATCCAGCCCTGACCCGATCTGCAAATGTAGACAAAAGCAAAACGAAACAGCATGAGATAAACGTCGATCTGTCATCGGACTTCGACAGGAATAGTGTGAACTCTTTGTCGACTTCAACAGCCGCCACCGAGGATTTGATAGGATCGGGAACGGGTGCAAGTTCTTTGTCACTCATTACGGAAGTGCACTTCGAAGGCATTACACTGGATTCCGGGATTGATCGGGAATCGCAGCCACTGCTTGGCGGCCGCGAGCATGAAATTACCTACAACCAATTCCCAGGTGAGTGAAATCCAATCTCATTATTGTTTACCTACTCTTGAGTCATTCATTCGTTAGCAAATGCACTGGCTGTGGTGCGTAATATGACTCATGGCTATAATTTGAGCGTTGCAATGTACTACGGGCATTCGACTGATGAAACCTAGTTCGCCAATCTCGACTCTATCGTTCTTTAGCAAGTGCGCTTATCGCTTAACGGTGGCAACAATTTGCTGAGAAACCGTCAGCTTAATCTCACTGCATAGCGGTCCGCAGATTTTTGCTTCCATCGGCTTGAGGAAGCGACCTTCAAATTTATACGACAGTTTGTCTTTTGGCTCTTTGCTTTGAACGGGGTTCTTTCAACCCATACAATGACTTCTGCTGTATACTAGTTAGTAATAGTCACAGCACGTCAAGCAGGTTGACATTTCAGTTTTTTCATGAATCCCTACAAGTGATTCGCTGCGGGTTCCCGAACAGTTGCGGTCGGGTATCGTGAGATTTCTACGAACCATTTGAGTTGACTGTATAGGGGATTAAGCGAATAAATGCCGTACCGAGCTGGGATATCTCCGATAGTATATATTAATTGCGTAACGCACCGATGAGCGGCGCCTGAGCATTGATCGATCACACGAATACGGGGGATTGGATTTGTTTTTAACGTCGTTGCGATTGGAATGACCGTGGCATTCAATTCAATACTTGCCTAAGTGCCTGCATGATTGAGTTTGCGTATTTGAATTGCTTTACAGACAGCTCATATGTAGAATATAGGTTGTACTGCTATACTTAGTTTTATTTAGATAACTTGATGGTAAAGTACACACTTAGATTTTTTGCCGAGATGGGCACCACCGAGCAGCTCGGCATTTTATTTTGCTGGATCTCAGTGAAAACTTGCCGAGATTCAGCAAAATTTATGTTTGTTAGCTGAGAGCTCGGCAAAATTCCCATTTGTTAGCTGAATCTCGGCAAGTTTTTGAATGAGATCCAGCAAAATAAAATGCCAAGCTGCGCGGTGGTGCTCATCTCGGCGGCAAAAAATCTAAGTGTGTAGAATTCCGTTGTTTGTTGAACTCGAGGCTCTCTGATAGTTGATGATCCTCTGTGAAGGAGATGCAACAGGTCGTTTACGGGAATCCAATCCCATTCTACCCAGGATCAAAGTTCTCCCCAAAGTCCACAAACCGGGGAATGAAATGCGAGAGATCGTGTTTGCAGTGTGTTCCCCTACCCACAAACTAGCGAAGTGGCTAGTCACAGTTCCAGAGTATGCCTAATCAGTTCCAGAGTAAAGCAGTTAGTTACACCCAGGAGTTCGCCCAGCAACTACAATCTTCAGGAGACATCAACGAGGACGAGATTATGGTATCTTTCGACGTCTCAGCTCTTTTTTGTATCGGTCAAGGAAGCGATAAAACATTTGGAGGACTTGCTATTAACACAACGAGAGGATGCAGCATGGAGAAACAAGGTTCGGACGTAGCTTAAGCTGACCCACCTTTGTATGGAAGAGAACTACTTCTCTTTCTGAGGTAACTTCTACAAGCAGACAAAATGAGCCCCAATGGGAAATCCCCTATCCCCTTCCTGTGTGAACTTTTCATGGCTAACTTGGAAACACTCAAGGAGAAAGGACTATTACCAAACCGTTGGTGGAGGTTTGTCGACGATGTCTTCAGCTTAGTTAAACGGGAAGCCGTCCCACAAATTTTAGATGAGATAAACACAGGGTGTCGACTACCTGGAAAAACCTGGAAAGTCAGGGAATGTCAGGGAATTCTAATTATGATCTGGAAAGTCAGGGAATGTCAGGGAATTTTAGTGTAGGTCAGGGAAAAAAATTATGTTGATCACATTGCAAAAAATCATGTGTGGAACTCATAAAAACAATCTTTGAAATTTTATCAGTGCATGAAGGGGGAAGATCCCGGGCATCAGATCTACTCGCTGCGTTTATGGACGCCCTTGCCGGTATCTCTTCGAACAAGTGTCCATGGATTGCCCAATGTGAATTGAAGCTAGAGATACAAAAAGGTTGCGAGAAGCTGATAGATCTGGGAAGCTGTGAGCTGTTTATTTTGCATAATGCATTCATTTATTTATTTATTTATTTATTTATTTTTTGTCGTCAATCAGATGTAGACCATTTTTTACAAGTTACAAGTCATGTGTTAAAATTACGAATAGAATTAAAGTACTGCTTTAATCTGGTTTTTGTCATTATAAAATCAATAGCTTCACTATGTTTATTGTAAGCAGTCATACTTTGATTTAGTGGACCAAATTTGGCATAATTTGTGCGATAGTGATTTGTAGTAAATATATTTCGAGTTCGCAGTTGCCGAGAAGGTTTGTAAAAATTAAGCTTTGATAACAGTTCTACTGAGTCAATTCGATGCGATACTATATCGTTCACAAACGAAACCATTGCAAATTCACGACGCGCTTTCAATGTTTGAATGTTTATGAGCATGCAGCGTGCTTCATAAGATGGAAGAGGAAATCTTGTCCAACCTAATCTACGACGAGCAAATAGTAAGAATTGCTTTTGCACTGATTCTAATAGTTCCTCATGCGTGAATGAAAAAGGTGACCAAACTATGCTACAATATTCAAGTATTGATCTTACATATGAAATGTACAGTGATTTTATTGTATACGGGTCATGAAAATTGTAACTGAATCGTTTGATAAAGCCAAGCATATTAGGTATTTGCTTTGTTGATAACTGTATTATAATGATCATTGAATGCTAGTTTTGAATCAATTATAACTCCTAAATCCCTAACTCGTTCACACTTTTCTACTGCCTGATTTCCTAATACAATTGTATTTTCTGGTTTGTTTCTTTTTCTACTAATAGCTGGTAGAGCGCTACTTCGTCGTAATCGCCCATTTCCGTTCTATCGATCAGAAAAGATCAATAATAGCAATGATTTCACCGTGCACAAATCAATAATAGATTTGTTCCGATGCGTTAGTTCATTAGCTACAACATAAATCCTGTTAGAGCGCATTGTATGAATATTTACGCTCATTGTTCTCAAAACAAAAGAAGCGTTCCTAGCGAATCCCCTTTTTCTACGTTTATCCGTAGGACGAAGAAAATCTAATGGCGTTTCAATGCGTTAGGACGGAATTGAAACTCATAGAACGAATTTAGAATCAAGAAGCAGTATTAGATTTTGAACAATATCTCAACAATTTGTGACTTTTTATCAAACCCAACGGTACGTATGGAAAGGTGAATAAATTTGCAAGTCATCTTTGACAGAAATATTACATTTTTTGTTTAAACTCGTTCAGAAAAGAGAGGTAAAGCGCGGGTTGTGCTTAGTAGGACGGAAATTAGATCGAAAACCCTATTGATTTACATTTTTGAACGTTTAGTTGCAGGAGGCTTTTGTTACACCAAACATAGAATAAGTTTGTTTCAATCTGGTACCTATGTCTGTATATCTTCTTTATTTCTTATTTCTAGAAAGAGCTTCATGTCATCCGCATAGATTAAAACTTTTATGTTTCTAAGAATAAAGGAGATGTCGTTTACAAATAAAATAAACAAAAGAAGGCCTAGATGCGAGCCTTGGAGGACTCCAGAAGTAACAGTGATAGGGTTTGATTTTTCACCTTTGAATCTAACTATTTGTTGGCGATTAGTTAAATATGACTCAAGCCATTTGAGAAGTCCAGGTTCAATTCCTATTTTTTGTAATTTGAAAAGAAGCATGGGTATATCAATACGATCAAATGCTTCGCTATAATCGGTATAGAGTGCTTCTACATGGTTTCCATTATCCATTGCAACCAAAGAATAGTTGACGAATTCAAGTAAATTTGTATTAGTTGATCGTCCTTTGAAGAAACCATGTTGCATGTTAGTGATTCTGTTTTTGACCTGATTGAATAGTTTTTCATTGACGATCGCTTCAAGGATAGTGTTCGCAGTATCAGTTGGGATGTTGTCCAATATTTGCGTGGTATCTACACTATCTTCAAAGATGTACCAGCAAGACGAGCGTTTATCACGATGTATTCTGGATCTACCATATTCCCGTTAAAGTTTTGCGGTCACCGATGGTTGGAAAATAGTGCTGCTGTTCAGAGGCAGGGCTGGTAGTGAGTCACTTTTTAGTGACTTGGTTACTTTTTTCAAGTCAGTTGCTAAAAAGTCTCTTTTTTTAAGGCCAAGTCACTAAAGTCACTTTTTCTTGTAATAAGTAATTATTTTCAACTTTTTTAGCGTAAATTTTTTTTCAAGATTGATTATTCTTTACGTTGTGATGTTTAATCGTCTTTCTCTATGTATGGATGTCTATTCATTTTTCTGGATAAAATTACCTCAGTTGTCCAAGTAAGTATGTCCAAAGTCTAAAAATATTCAATGTCTTGAAGTTTCGTATTCCATGTACAAATTTAAGCTTCGAGAACATCAAGACAGATCAGAGAATCAAAGGGTCGTTCAAATAATTTCAAGGAAATATTAGAAACCTTAAAAAAGTTTCGAGCTCAGTGAATTTCCGAAAACTTCAGCAAAGCTCCGAGAGAATTCCTGAAAATTTTATGAACATCCGGAAAACGTGATAATATTTTAAGGGTGTTATATCATGGAGATTTCAAGAACTTCAAAAATGTGAAAATTCAGCTTAGTTGGTTAGAAGACATAAACGAAGTTCCATTAATAAAAAAAGCGAGAACTTTTAGCAAGCAGTGATATATTCTAGAAATTCCAGAGAACTAAATTTAGATATTTCTAGATAGTTTAATGATATTCAGCGAAGTTCCGAGTACTTCGAGGATGATCAGATTGCTTCAGAATAATCCCATTAACTTAAGCAAATTTGCAGCAACTTACAAGGAGTTCCGTGGAATTATAGGGTATTCCAAGAATTCTATGATTGATCCTAAAACGTCAGAAGCATCAGGGAATTATGAATATGTATCAGAAAATTTGCTGGATTATTAAACAAATTTAGAGAACTTCAGGTAAGCATAGATAAGTTCAGGGAAAA